TCCATCTGTCCCATTCGATAGAGCCAACACATGTGCAGTAGTCAACCATTTTTTGAGTTCTGTAAAGCTCCTTTCGCAATCCTCATTCTACTCAAACTTAATGTTCTTCTTTGTAAGTTGGGTTAATGAAACAGTTAGACTAGAAAATCCTTCCACAAATATGTGGTAATAACCTGTCATTCCTAGGAAGCTATGAATCTCTTTAACCGATGTCAATTTCTCCCAGCCAAGTACTGCCTCAACTTTTTTGGGATTCACTGATACTCTATCCCTTGATGTGATGTGTCATAAAAAGGTAGTCTACTCGAGGCAGAACTCACACTTGCTTAATTTTACATACAATTTCCTTTTTCTAAGAACCTGCAAAACCTGAGTCAGGTGGTGAACATGTTCCTCTATACTCTTGGAATAGATTAGGATATCATGGATAAATACAACGACAAATTGATTTAAAAATTGTTTGAATACCCTATTTGTTAAGTCTATGAAAATGACTGGTGTATTGGTTTGTTCAAATGACATGACTAGGAACTCATAGTGTCCGTACTTGGTTTTGAAGGCTGTCTTGGGAATGTCCTACGCCTTGATCTTTACTTGATAGTAACCCGAATGCAAATCTATTTTGGAGAAGACCTGAACACCTTAAAACTGGTCAAAAAGGTCATCAATTATGGGGATGAGGTACTTATTCTTGATCATGACTCTGTTCAATCCCCTGTAATGAGACACACTATGTCGGATGAACCCACTTTTCTTAGCTTTTCTATCTCAACACGACTCATGCGGTAAGGGGCAACTGAAGTAGGCTCGGTGCCAGATTGAAGATCTATGGTGAACTCAAATTCTCTATCTACTGGTAGTCCGAGTAGTTCATCAAGAAATACATTCAGAAAGTCTCGGTCTATCGAGATCTCTTAAATGCAAATTTTTTTCTTAGGTTTGCCTAATGTAGAGAAAACAATCGAGTTAAAGTACTATGTAATAAGGAAATTACCATGAGAGAATAATATTCAAAACTTTTATTAACTTGTAAATGACTCTTTATTAGGAGAGTTGAATACAAGTTCTTGTGAATACAATTTATGGTGGCATGATACGCCGCTAACTAGTTCATTCATAAAATTATATCAAAGTCCCCGATGTCCATCTCTATCTGGTGCTCACTTATTTTCTTATCTTCTATATCTATGATACAAGCTTTGTATATAACCTCCCATAGTAGTGTCCTACTTTCAGGAGTAGACACAAACAACACAGAATCAAGTCTTTCAGGTAATAAATTCAAATTTTGTGCAAAAATATGTGAAACAAATGAATGTGAAACACCAGTATCAATCAAAATATGTGCAATGTGATAACAGATAGTGCAGGTACCTTGTATCACACTTGGGTTGGGTTTAGAATCTTACTGGTGAGGTTGTAAGCTCTACCCTAAATAGGAGGCCTTTGCTGAAGAATAAGAATTAGACATCGTAGAAGGAGGTCAATCCCTAGAGAAGGAGGCCGATCCCCAGCTACTGTCGCATTAGAGCCACCACCGACTGTCAAAAAAGGTAAAATTCTCCTCAACCTACTCGAAATTTGATTCTAAGTTTTCTTGTGGCCATATCAGAGCAAAAGGTATGACAAGTGAGCCAAAAATCGCGGGTAAAGCTCGGCAGAGTCGCTCGGCCAAAACCCAAAAACTCCTCTGATGAGTCTCTTATCATTTCCCGTTCCATATGATTCTTTGATCATTGCGTTCATCGTCATTTTCTGTGCAGGTTAGTCAAAGAAGAAACTCCATCCGTGAAGGAAAACTGACAAAGTCGCCGCACCTAGAGACCCCCCCCCCCCGGCCGGTAAGTTCGGTATTTTTTCACAAAGATACGTGTAAAATTGACCAAAACCGGTTAGCCAGAGGTGAACTGCTACCGTGGGCAGTAGAGCCAGCGCCAGAGCTCAGCAGTAGCACTATTCCAGAACCCTAAAATTGGTTGAAAATATTTTTCAACACTATTTTGGATTTTTGGGGTATGTTTAGGTATGTGACGAGTATTTTGATTCCCACATAAAAAAATTAGGAAACCCGTAACTGGTTAAGAGTCGTAGTAGATAATACAATATTTCGAAATATCAATTCAGGTAAGAATTTCTTACTATATTCTCTATTACAGTAAATTAAAGATTAATAATAGATGACTGTATATTTTGTAAAAAATTAGAAAAACTCTAAAAGCAATTATGGGTCAGTAATAGAGCCGGAATTGGTTAGTTCATTATTTGTCTTGATTCCTCATTTATTTTTCTGTATTGGTTAAATAGTTTACTATTATATTACACATATTACATTGATAGTTTTTATGGTCTTCTCGATTATTTGGTTTATTTGTTCCTTCCTTATTTGATTATCTAGTTACTTAGTTATTCAGTTATGTTTAAACTATATCACTTGCTTAAATGCCGTTTAAATTAATCGGGTGCACATAAAATGAGACATTGGTATGCTTTGATAGTTGTTTGGATGATAAGGATATAAATAAATGAAAGCTTACTAGGCATCCTGAGAAATAGTTGACATACACGGTACATAGTGAACCTTATCGTGGATATTACCTCAGTCAGACGGGGCTGAGAAATCCTATATCATAAGTATTTTAAAAAATATAGTTCAACCTCATACCGGATGGAGTATCGAAGCGAAGGTATTTTTGGCATCCATTACTGGACGGGGTATGGGGACGATTGGGTTAATTGTCAAATCTTGATACTGGATCCACGTGTGGAGAGATATCCTTATGGACCCCTAAAGGTCCTAGTAAGTATGTTAAAAGGAAAAATTACTGATCTTATACATGAAATTAAAATGTCACTTGGTTATTTGTCTTTATAAGTTGTTTTTGAAAAAATCCGTAATTGTAAGTATGAAAAACAACGTTTTAGAGTTAAATGTATTTACTTAAATTAAGGGCTTCATTAGTTGTTTTGTGATTTTTACCTATATTCGATTTTCCGTATCAGTAATTAGTGTGATATTCTTATTAGATTAGTATAACTCACATTTTCATTAACCATTTTAGATCAATAAAGCTAATATCCAAATCCTGATCAACAAGAGTGTTATGAGTAGTTCACCTTCCGGACTTCTTTTAAGTGCTAGTGAAGGTTAACTCCTAGGATATCTATTTATTTGTTTTTAATTACTGTTTGTTTTTTTTTTTTATGAACAAATGTAAAAGGGACATTCCTATAACTCTATTGGATATTCCAATTTATTGTATAAAAAATATAAACCTTGATATTATTGTTCGCTTACGCATTAAAGATAATAAATTAATTTCCTTTGAGTTCAGGACTTTTACAGTTACATTTATGTTAATTGAAATTTAAATATTATATATTATGTATAATTTATGTTATAAAATATGATTATTTACTTATCTTATATCAATCAAATTAATTATTCTTATCTTTGATAATTATTGACTGTATCATAATTATTTTTTATATCAAATATTGTCTATTATTACTTAAAACTTGAAATATCAATTGGTTGATTAAGCCATATGTCTAGCAAGATTAAGAGAAAAATCAAATAAGAATAATGAGTCAGAAATTACACATTTGTTTTTATTTTTCAATTTAGATGGTTTTACTATATCTTGATAAGATATAAAATAATAGGACACCTAATATTGGAATTGTTGTATTCTTAAAAATATATTTGATTTTAATAATTGAGTTATTAATTTTTTAAAAATAATATATAATCTAAAATGTAAATCTTACTAAAAAATTATTACTACTATAACGAAATTGAATTATTTTCTTAAAATAATTTTTAATTAATTAATTAATATTTTTATATTTATTTTAAATATATAAATTTGAGTCAGAATGTGTCACTTAATCAATAAAATATATAATTCTTAAATTAAAATATAATCTTATTTTTTAAAAGTTTACGATTTATTTAACTCGACTTGTTTTTATTTTACGGAATCAATTTGTTGGTAAGTAATAAAGAATTTAATTATGTTGGAACTAAGCTGTAAAAAAAAAAAAATTATTTGAATTCTTCTAACTATTATCTATTTTTGATTAAATTCAAAGAAATAATACCAGTACATATAGTTTTGAAATATACTGATTGCTAAAAAGGTAATTAGCATAATTAATTAACCTCATAATTATGTTTCTTTATTTATAAGCTAAATCTAATTCCAATTAAAAAATCCATTTTTCTTTACTTTTATGGGTTCTTACACTTGAAAAAATTAATAACTTCATTTTTACAATTAATAATTGCAAGTAAAAAGTTTTTTTACTAATTATCATTATATTTAATATTTCAAAAGCAAGAAAGTAGTAAAAAAAAAAAAGAAGAAGGAAAAAGCATGTGGGAAAGACTTTTACAGGCAAAAATTACCACGTTAGTAAATAAGTTTTACCTAATCAGAAATGTGAAAAGTATAAATAAACAAAATAAGACAACATTTTTCTAAGAAATGGAAAATTTAGGAGTGGAAGTATCAAAAAACAATTAACAACTGCCAGGCAGTTTATCAACACCCAACCACAATATTGCTCCCTTATTTTATTCCTGTTCGCCGCATGGCATCACTCACCTGCAGTGTCCATCTGGTTTCAATAACGCGCCATCTGTAGCCTTGTCCTTGACTCTGCCGTAACCAATAAACGGATGAGATCGAACACGCGCTTCACTCGCGCTTAGAATTGTGGTTTCTGGTAGGAGGGTACACGTGTCATTTCACCATGCGTCAGAATAAAGACGCTGGACACTTGTTCCCGAAGTAACTGCACTTTGGGACACCCAATGCGACCTGTCAGCAGTTATTATCCTCCGCACTCATGCTCATGTACACCTCGAAGATCAGCCGTTAAAATCATCACCGATTTTGAATCGTGTGGCTCTTAAGCATTCCCTCCCGTTTCATGCAATAGGCGCGATTCTAGCAAATCGAAGATAGTTATTTTATCTTGTATTTCCAGCTTCAGGTAAAATATTTTGCTCTATCAGTACAGAGTATACAAGGAGCAAGCAAAGCGGAGAGAGAAAGGAAGTAGAAAAAAATGGAAGCAACTTTACCTCACTCTTCCTTGATTTCCAAGATCACTCACTGACTCAGTCACTCCATTGGTACATTTCCTCTTCTTTTATTTGGTATAAATCTTTTTCATTCATTCACAAACTTGAACTTCTTGGTTTTTTGAATTTTTTCTTCTGCTTCCCTCGCTTATGGTTTGATTTGGTTCGTTTCAAGTTCAGGAATGATAGATTTGGTGGTCGGGAGTAGGGCATTCTCTAGGTAAGTTTCAGATCTAGAGGCAAAGCAGCTCATATCTCTAATTTGTTGCTTTCGTGCATCGTTTTTTTTTTAAATATTTTTAACTTCTCTGTCACTTGTAGCAGATCCAGGGATTGGGGTTTATTGATAAAGTTTATGCGATCCGTTGGGTTTGCTTTTATTCATTGTACAATTTGTAATTGTTTAATTCTTTCTTGTTTAGCACCGACAAGATCACTCTGTGCCGCTTAATGGAGTTTAATGGATATAAGTTCTCATCAAGTTTCATCAGTAGTTGAATGTTTGATTGTGTTAAATTTTATGTTAAATCAATAATGCGTGCTATGTCACAATTACGTTATAAAAATCCTCAAGTAGATAGCTGTTTGGTTGCAGGGCTAACAATTCAACTACTGTTATATAACCTGTCTTTACTGTTAAATGGGGATTTTATATGGATATTAGGACAGATATGCCATGGCAACGGGAAGAACATGAGAAACTTGCTCTGCTTCTTTGGATACCTGAAGACACATGAACTATCCACCAAAAGTTTTGAATGACTGATTCTGACAGTACAGCAACATGGAAAATTCTGGGAGATAGAGACCACAACCTAGTTCATACATAGAGACTTCTGCTTTTATATTGTTCCTCTAAAGCTTCTGAGGTTCCTTCTGATGTTATTCTTGAACTTAAGTGTGATAGGGTATTAAAATTTTGAATATTAATTGAAACTGTCTGCAGTTCTCTAATGACTTTATGGAGTCAATGAATTATCACAAAGAGTCTAGATACTGGAAAGTGGACTGGGGTTTATAGTGTTTAACTTTGTCAAGATATGTGATGTTCACATCTGACACAGCTTTTCACAACTGTATAAGTAGCTTATCAACTAAAAGGACTGCTACCTACTTATATTAAACCAATAAACTCCTACTTGGTTCAAGTGTCTGATATTCCATTTGGATCTGAATTTGTCTTCTAGATCCTTTTTCTTTAGTGTAGGAACTTGAGGAATCCAGATAACAAACTGTGTTGTTTCTTAGCTATATGAATCCTCTTCCCACAATCTAAAAGGGATGGAGATTGAAAGAAAGAAGACTAAGGGCTTGCAATTAATACTGAACTTATGTGTTATCATTTTGAGGCGAAAAGAAATGTTGGAGAAAGGAAAAAGGTTCTTGTGATCATACTTCTTTCTGTCTTCTTGCAGATTGGTTGGTATTGTTTGGTTTTGCCATTTTTGTTCATGGGTTGGGACCCCTTGATGCCTTGCTCTTATACTTGTTGTTTTATAAATTTTTTGTTGTTGAGTTTGTGCATTTTTTTATAGGTACACTGAAGCCATTATTCCTTGATTCAGGAAGTGGACTTCTGGTTTATGCGATATTCTTTCCTGGTCTTACAGCAATGGGCAAATCGCCAGGGAAATGGATCAAGGCTGTACTATTTGGAAAGAAGTCAACTAAGTCTAATGTTTCCAAAGGGAGAGAGGTAGTATGAAGCTGCAAATACACCACCATGTTGCACATTTGAAAATTAAAATGTTTATTCATCCAAGCAATGGATATTTCTTATAATCAGCTAGCAAATCCAAAAACTGAAAAGTAAAGGACAGAAAATTTCTGTGGTTCGATCAAGGTGACCCATTACATGGGAGGATTGAATTTGGATTCACTATGAACAATTTTGAAAAGTACAATGTGTCTTTCTCTCACTCAAACCCGAGCCTGAGTACACCAACAAAATAGCTAAGATAGTGGCTTTGATAGTAAAATTACATAAAAATAGCACAGTAGGAAAACCTGACCTTAGGCTCTATTTAGTAGTATTTAATCTTGTGAAATGAAAGGACGTATATTAGACATACATGTCTTTTGACACTGGAATTTTCTGTTTAGTCCTGCATCATACATAAAGTGGAGTAACTTTTAGAATATTGGCTTGACATAATTCACATTGTATGTTGTGCTTGCCTTTGATGATGAGAAGATGGTGCTTCTCCACATTCTGTTTTAATGTCTTAATCCTGCTGTCTAGAGATTCCTTTTTAACGACTCCATATAAGTCCAGTTGGAAGATTATGACTTCAAATATATGATTCTTTAGATTTTGTGACTACCCTTTTGTTTACTGGTATACGATTGTTTTGAGATGTAGCAAATCTTGTGCAATTTTCATATTTATGGTTGTGCTGGAGCTATTGATCATGAAACATACATAGTCTCCTAAAAATTAAAATACATGTTGTATGTCTTTTTTGGCTGTCAGTATTGTTTTCTTCTAACTCATATCATATGTATAGAGAGCTTCTAATGGAAAAGAGGTACTGATTGCTGCCAAGGCAGCAGAAACTGAAGTTGCATTGGATCAATCCTTAGCTCCAAATTCAGTCAACAGCGCTGCTGATAGAAGCAAAAGTAAGTCTGAATTGGAGAACAAGAATGCTGCAAGCATATCAGATGATGCATTTTCATTTCCAGAGACTAAACACACAGATTTACAAGAATCTCCATCTCAAGATGCGAGATCTGACCCTCAGAAACTGCTGGAGGAGAGAGCTGCAACCACAGTGCAGGCTGCCTTTAGAGGTTACCTGGTAAACTTCCCTTTTCAAATGTATTTGCTATGTTTTTCATGGTTGACTACATTAAGGTAACAGTTTTAAAATAATGCACCTATGGTCTTCTTTTGTTCTGCCATTGAGGGCTTTTTTGACAATCACCATGGAGCTCTGATTTGAAGTTTGTAATATGAATACTGCCACCTGCTGTATTTTGAGAATAAGGATAGAGTTTGTATATTGTTTGATAAATAACTGTTCAGTCAGTTGCAAGAATTCTATGTAGCAATATTTCCTCCCTTTTTCTTTTGAAGTTTCAGATATTATCTAGGATTGGATTTTGTCAAGAAGTTAGTTTACCCATCTCGTTCACTTTGTTTTTATGTTCCGCAAGATTCTTCGTGGCAGTTTTCATATTTGGATAGTGTTGAGATTGACTAGGAAAGTGGTCCCTCTGTTTCATGCCTTTCTCTGAAGAGCTACCTCTACATGTATTATTAATGTTAATTTGATGGGCCAGATGTTTCTTGCATGTCTAGTCCTGCCATTAGATGGCTACCTACTTACTTTTAATGTTGAGAAGGCTATAACCTGTGCATGTAGACATTTGACTCTGTGCACTTGAAAAAATTTAGACTGAAACATGGTTTTATATCTATACATTGTAAGTAAAGTGTAAAGTTTCTAATATGTATTTATGTAATTGTAGTAATTTTTTATCTACTTAAAAAATGAGAGAAGATGGTTTACCCGTATGAAAAATAGAAAGAGCAAGCTGTTTCTGGGAATAATTATATAGCATCGCTGTTTCTGCGTACTTTCTTTGGGTGGAGGAAGTTGAATTCTTTTTATAACTGTGCATTCAAGTGATGAGCACTAGTTGATTTAAATTTCGTATTCTCTGAAAGTGTTCAATCCTGCCATTTGGAAATTGAGGTTTTATACAAATTATTAGGCTAATATGAGAACTAATTATCTTTTCAATTTTCATATTTTGTCAAAATATGTAGCACTGATGCTTGTTTTGGTCCAAAACAGTGATCATGTGTTGTCTTTGCATGTATGTCTATACTAGCTTCCATTTTTACTAATTGTGGTTTTTGCTCTGTGTTGCAATCTGTCTGGTTTTATTTTTTGTCTGTAACACTTGGCAATAAACCCTTTAGAAAACCATATTTTACATCAACACAGTATTTGGTTTTTTATTTGTTTTCACCTGCACTCACTTAAGCTTGATATGTGAAGGCTCGGCGAGCATTTTGGGCCCTCAAAGGCATAATAAGGCTCCAGGCACTTATCCGTGGACATTTGGTTAGGAGGCAAGCTGTTGCTACTTTGTCTTGTGCAATGGGAATTGTAAAATTACAGGCACTTGTTCGTGGAAGACAGGTGAGGCATTCAGATATTGGGATGGAAGTGCAGAGGAAATGTGGTCTGAGACAGTCAATGGTAAATTCCTAAAAGAATTAAACGATGATTAGTCAGATCCCATCCTTGTGGTTCTACTGAGCAATTATTTTTTTTAAAATTTTGTTTTTCTTCTCTTCTTCCATCAGGAGGGCAAGCTTGTTGATTCTGTTGGTGCAGATGTTTCCTTACGATTCAAGAAATTCTTTGCAAATGATTTTGTTTCCAAGGTATATTTCAATCCTAGCCAAATTATACATCTTCTACTGCACTTTTAATATATCTTAAATGGAATAAACATGATATTTCTACTAACTTTCTAATAATAATTAGGATTGCATTATATATATTCTATGACGTCCTATTATCTTTACCATGAATAATTTTTGACTGTAGGATATGTTGTTAGTTACTATAGTAGTACTTTCACATGATCTTGTCCTTTTTCAAAATATTTCATTCTATCCAACTTGTATCAGTTTCATCTTACTTTTCCTGGTGAAATCAATTCCTTGGTGGAAGTATAGGAATGTAAATCTTATAACCAAGTTGATGCCAAATGATTTCTTAGTTTCAATTTCATTAAGACTAGCATTAGCAAGGGTTTGTCTTTTAAACTTGTATCTGTGATAAGCCTGGTGACAGGGCATGCCATTAGTATAAGAACTCAGCAGATATTTCACCAATTTTATGTTCTCTGCTCCTTCGATGATGTGAGACGCGAGGCTGTCCCCTGGCTTGGCTCTCTTGTGCATGTGCTTAAAATGCCCCAAATAATATTTCTCCTAGCTTGTGAATTGTCCCTAACTTGGCTCGATGTGCATGAGCTCATCTAGTTTTGTGTGACATGATATGCTATCTCACCAGGGACTTCTATTCAACATTCTGTGCTTACAGCCATGCACATATTTCTGACTATCACTACCCAAGTATTATCTATGTAGTATTCTCTCAAATGGGTTGACTGACATTTGTTGCTTCAGCTTCTTGCTTCACACCGACAGTGATGCCTTTGCACCTTCATNNNTCCAGCAGAAGTGAATTTGAGAAGCCAAAGCTCAATGTTGAAAAGGTACCGACCAGTTCAGGTCATGAAATTTTTGGAACAGGGCTGAATTATTTAGGTGAACAGAGTGTTAACTCTTGAGTGAGAAGATCAAGAATGAGACAGCCTTGAAAGTGGTCAAGCAGCTGAGGCTGAAATTTCCCAAGCACCATTAGAAATGACTGAGACATTGGATTTGTCATCTATTGTTGAGCCTGTAGATGAGTCAAAGCCTTTGGTTGAGAGCGAGAATAAAGATGAGAATAGTCCAAAAACAAATGGGGAACTGAACCATAAGGAGGATATGATCGGCAATGAGAATCAAAAAACAAGCAGAAAAGCTTCAGTTGCTGCAAAGCAAGAACGAGCAGAAAATGGGATTCAGAATAGTCCTACACTCCCAAGCTATATGCAAGCAACTGAATCAGCGAAGGCAAAGCTGAGACTGCAAGGTTCCCCAAGATCTGCACCCCAAGAAGGGACTGAGAAAAATAATGTTGCTCGACGACATTCTCTACCTTCATCAACTAACAGCAAAATCAGCTCCCAGTCACCAAGGACACAGAGAGTGGTACATGCAGCTGGAAAAGGTGGGAGTAAAGGTGAAAGGGCCACGTTAGCATCGCGAGATGGAAACGGTAGGGAACAGTGCAATCACTAAAAGTATTTTTTCTTTGTTATGATAGACCTGCATAGGATGCCATTTTTTCTGTAGATTCCTAATAATATTTTGAGTCCTTTTTCTTTTCCATGTTGATTTAGCCTCAACTGCTCCATTTCTATGGTATTGTGTGATTCCCTACCTTGACAAAATAATCATATCATTGCAAGGAAAGAACTTGAGCTTAATTAGGATAGCCAATAGACCTGTTTCGTGACAAATGTATTATCTTTTCCAACTCGACCCCTTAATTGCCATGAATGAGCATTAGGGCTATAATATTTAATTCTTTTTTGGCTATCTTCATTTGACAGTAACTGATTAACATTTTTGATTTTGCAGCTAAGGTGACCCAAGTAGAATGGAGAAGGTGATTTCCCGGAAGTCTAAAGAAGTTAGTGAAAAGGGGTAACTCATATCTGTAGTCTATTGTTCTTTAATGCACCTGTTTTTTTTTTTTTTTTTTTTTTTTAAAGATTATCCTTTGTTTAAACCAAGTAAACTTGAGTCCGTAGATGCAGGTGTGTGGTGGCAGAGAGCCTTGTCACTTTTCTACATTTGGTGGTGTTTGTTGAGTGAATGTACATCATAGGTTCTAAAGATTCATTTTGTGATAACCATATGTTAATTTTAAATAGTGGTTGATTTCTACGTTATTTATTTATGGCTGTTCGCTATGTAACAATTGTATAGAACTTGAGGTTTGTAGTTGTTCGTATTATTTTTGTTCTAGGATTTGATTAATTCATGGACTATAGTGGTTGAAGCGGTGAATTTATTGTTGGTTTGCCCGTGAGGTTTGGTTCCCCACGTGTTTCTTTTATGGTATGGTTTTAGTTTTCGGACTACGTGAAAAATGTGGTTGGCTTTTTCCTTGATCTTGGACTTCTAACATTTTTCAATGAAATTTTTGACAGAAATAACAACAAAGCAAAAGACTCTGTCTCTTATTTGTGTTATTCGAATGTAAATTGGATATTTTAGAACGTCTAAATGACATAAGGGTGGTTGTGTTTATGCTTGTGTACTTATAACTGGGTTTGTTTTCAAAAATAAAATTTTATTTTATTTTTTATAATTACATTTTTCTTACATGTTTGCAGAATGTGTTACAGACTTTTAGTTTTGTACTCTTACCTGTGTGAAAGTCCATTTTGTTTTGATTATATTTTTAGATATATATTAATTATTTAATATATAGAATTTATGTATGTAATTGATTTAATTTCATTAATATTTTTAATTTCACTGTAATAAATTCATATTTAGATAGTAAAGTTATATATAGTACATGATACTTAATTAAAATTTTAATTGCAAATAATTTTCATTTTAGGAAAATTTTTTAACTAGATAATTGATGAGTACGTTACTTTTATTTTCTTGAATAAATTTATGTATTTATTAATTACACATGTGTATACCAATTATAAAAT